GGGAGAGAAAGACAGAGAGAGAGAGAGAGGTGGTGGCAGCCTGGCGCGGGAGGAGCGGGTGCTGGGAGCACGTGGGGCCGGCGAGTCCACAGGCATGTGGCTGCCAGCGTGTGTGAGCCGCTCAGGGACCGACCGTCCCAGGGGAACACAGGGCCACCGAGACGGTGTCACAGGGCGGGGTATCAGGCGTGGGGTGGGGGTCCACGCTGGGCGCATCCTGAAAGGGCCCGCTGGAAGACCAGGGATGTGGCAGCCCGGCCGGGGTCGGGCACGTTCCTAACGCTGGGGGGGGGGTGGATTGGCATGGCCTGGAACTGGTGGCTCTACTCCGCAGGGAAGGGGGACTGGGAGGTCGCCTTCAGTCCCCCCCCGCCCACTGTTCTCCCCTGGGGTGGCCTTATAAGGGTGGGTCCCAAGTGAGGTTCGCCCTCGCCCGTGTTCTCCTCGACTCCCACCTCCAGCACCGGAAACCAGAATGTCTGGTCTGGTCCCTCCCCCCCACGCCAGTCCCGGCTCCAACACTGTTGCCATGGAGATGGGAAGCAGTGGAGGGCACTGCTGACTTTGGGGGAGTGGGGATGGGCTAGGGGGGTGGGGGAGGGAAGACAAAATGTATGCTGGGGGGGGCAGGAGGGTTCCAAGAGCGTGGGCGAACAAACGGCCAAGGCCAGCCGGCCAACCCCCACCGCACGAGGGGCCCGGGGCTGCGCAGCCCCCTTCCCCCTCCAGGTGCCCCGCAGCGCTGCTCAGCCCCGACCTTCCCGGGACCCCCAGCCTCCTTCCCACTCCCCTCCCCGCGCTCACCCCACATTCCACAGCCCTCCTTGGGGCCCCGCAGCCACTCCCCCTCGGCTGACCCTGGCTGACCCTCAGCATCAGCTTGGCACTAACGGGGTGACTGCGAGCAGGATGGAAGGAGAGGCGGCCCGGGTCCCCGCGCGCGCGCGAGGCGGCGGTCCCCGAACCCCAGGACCCGCGCCGGCCCCTCCCCCTCAGGCCCGGAGGGAGGGAGCGGGCACACTCCGCCGGGGCGGCATGAATCAAACGCTACGCGGCTAAGAATAGCTGGTACACGCAGCTGGTACCGAGACGGGCTGAGGAATCGGCGGGGGGTGGAGAAGGGGAGAGAGGGGGTGCCCTGGGAGGCTGCGAGGGGACGGGGGGCGGCTGGCGGGGCCGAGGGCGGGCCCGGGAGAATGAATGGAGGCGGAGAGGGGCGGGGAGAGGGTGCTGGGGCTCGAGCCAAGACGCCGGTGGGGCAGCGCCCGGGCCGGAGAGAGGGGGCAGGGGCACCGGCAGTGGGGTTCGGGGGTGGAAGGCGAGGGGGCGCGCCGGCCGGTGCAGCGAGGCACGGAGATGGGGTGGGGTGGGGGAGGGGGGCGGGGGGGGATCCGAGGTGCCTGAAATAAGCAGGAGCCAGAGGGGGCCGCCCGGTGCGTGGATGCCAAGGCCCGGACCCCCGCTGGGGATGGGAACTGGGGTCTCGAGCGCTGGGGCTGCAGGACAGAGGGTCGGGGGCCCATGTGGACCAGGGTGGGCGAGGCGGGGGAGTGGCCGGCGGGCCCGGGAGGCGCGCACGGCGGCCGGGCTTTTGGCCCGCGGAGCGCAGGGAGGCGGGTTCGCCCTGGGGGGCCGCTGCTGGAGGGGGATGGGGGGGCGCAGCCTCCCAGCCCGGCTGCCATCTGGGACGGGGCACCGGGGACCAGGGCGTAACCCAATTTGGCGTCGCCCGGGCAACGCGCCCCTCCTCGCCGCCGCCACCCCACACCCGGGCCCGGAGCCCGGCGCACGGCCAAGGACATCCGCGGGCGCCGCTGCCCCCCTCCCTCAGCCGCTGCCCAGAACCCCCGGC